GCTCAGGCCCCGCCGAGCCACGTTGCAGCTGTTCAGGGACGCTCCTGGATGCGCTGAGGCTCCTGGAGAGGGGCGGAGGCAGGGTCGGGCCGGGGCGGAGGCAGGGCAGGAGCCTCAGCTGTTCTCTTGGGGGCCCCTGTGGAGCCTGGGGCCTGGGGCAAATTGCCCCACTTGCCCCCCCTCTGGGCGGCCCTGAAATATGGCAGCTATTTAACAGCACCTAGGAGCACTACAAAACAATTTAGGACTGGAAATGATAAAACCACATTCCACTAAAACTACTTGAGAATTTAGCAAGGTAGAATGAAGTTAATAACTCTCTTTTCTTAGTTTAATCTCTGTGTTATTTAGGGATAGTGGAGCTTGTGCAATGCTTCAAACTAGGACACATAAAATGTCTGCCTATATGTTACAGATGTTCTTTAATGACCATCTTTACATTACATTAAATCTTTTTGTACCAATATGTATAGCACAATCAGCTACTGGGAATGAAGCTGTCATGTTGTTTTAATATTCACCAGAGCTGAGTTATACCAGTACCAGCAAAAATAACAGTTTACATTCTAATAGTGTCATACTTCACTTTTCTGTGTATGAAAGTAAAAATAAATGACGAAACGGGTGGAAAATTGCACTTACCAAATACATTTAACATACTACATTATTTTTTATAATACACTGTTGCAGAATAATTTCCTCTCAAATGTGACACCAAATAAAATATCACTGTGTGGCATTCCATAAGGAAAAGTAGGAGTTCATTTTATCGGCTTCATATTTCCTTAGGGTATTTCCACTGTGAAAAGCCTACTTTGAAATGGGATCTTTCTCTTCCTCACAAGTTCTGATGGAAACAGTAAATCAGTTTTACAGAAGTGTAAGTTGAATTCCCAAACGCCTTGGAGTCAGCTTAGGATATGCTCCAGGGCACAATAGCATATTTTTAAAAAGTTCTTAAAATACTGATTGTGGCAGGCATCCAACGGTAAATACCACACACACTCTCTCCAAAAATGCCAACACAATCTGAGCTCATTAAATAATAGGAAGGAAATAACAAAATGCAAAGGTAGAATGAGCATTGACAACAAAGCAAAGATTTAGACCCAATGTCCATACTGAATGGAGACATTTTATATTTTACATAACTGTGGAACTATTATTTCAAAATATTTACGCTTAAACCAGTCAGGGCCAGATTCTGATTGCTTACTTATTGTGATGGCACCATTAGCCCATTGATGTCAGTTTTGATACCTTTATTCTT